TATATATATATATATATATATATATATATATATATACACATGTGGCAAAAGACCGGGCAGAATAGAAGATTACTTTGTTATTTTATTATAATTGTGGTGCTTTTTCTGTTTGCAGTGATGTCCTTCTGCAAAAAAGGTCTGTACTGCAGAAATTCTGTGTCTCAATTTTTTTCCTTCGTTTTGTATAGAATTTTTGCCGTAAATGAAAGAAAATGCATGGATTTACTTAACCCAACGAAACAAAACTGTAACGAGACTTCAAATATAAGGGCAGAGCTGACACATAAACTAATGGAGTTTCTGTAATGTCAGCTGATGATAGTGTTTTTATTGTCAGTGTGTTCTGATTGACTGAATGTTTATGTTGGAAGAGAACATGTGTTTGTGTTTTGAACAATAATTTCATTTTGAAACATGATTGCAGGGTTTTGTTAAACATGGTGTAGTGTGTTTGTTTATTCTTGTATTTTGAAAAGTAGTTTAGAAGTTTAGTTTACTTTTACCCTAGACTAACATCAAAGAGGTTGTAACAATGTGTGATTTTAAACATAAAAATAACTGTTTTGCCAATTGTGTATTTTAGGTGTGTTGCCGCGTTAAGAGTTTAGCAAACTTGTTAAATGTATTGAAAAAACTGTCATAGCCATTGTAAAAAACTGTATTTTTTGTGTTGTTGTTCTGTGTCCATTATCAATAGTGTAGATGCATATAAATCCTTTCATGATCAAGCATATGCATGATCAAAATGATTGGGATGTGATTGGTATGATTGTATCATTTCCAAACAAATGTCAATGCATATGGGTAAATGTGAGCAATATGTTTAATTTGTACTGAGAGCTAGAAAGCGTTTTTAACACAGAAATTGCTTAATCACCCTCAGAAAAGTTGCTAAAACACAAGTCCTGCAGAGGTCAGAAAATATTACATTAACATTGTGGAGGATAGTAGCATCTGTGTGCAAGTCCAATATGAACTAAGGATAGCTGATGTTGTGCTGCATCGTCTTTTGTTTAAAAGTAACTGTGTAGTTACAAATGCAGTGAAAATCTGTTTGCTAATTGTACATACATGAACACATAAGTGCACTGAATGACTTTTTGTGAGCTGAACTAGGTTTTTGTGAACTAAGCATTGTATCAGTTGATGAAATATGGTAATTTTCTGTAAATTTAAACAGTCCTATAAAACTTCTGTATTTTTACAGAAAATTCCTGGCAACCACTATCAGTATTTTTCGTTAAATTTAACAGATTTTTTTAACTGTGTAAAGAAATAAAAAGCTAAATAATTAAATAAATAATTAATTAATTAATAATTAAAGCTAAATTATAAATGTTGTGTTGATTGAACTAAACAACATTACCTTTATGTAACTAACTTAAGTTCACTCAAATAAATATTCTTTCTTTAAGGTAACTTAACTCATTTACGTGGAACCTGTTGACATAAAAAAGTTAATTAAAGCCAACATATAATTTTTTTGAGTGTACTGTACTCAGATTTGTTGTGATAAAATGTTTAAAAAGTTTGCCCATGTTCTGTATATCACTGGAATCTCAAAGAAATAGTGCATACTGTAAATATGCATACTTACATCTGACATCAAAAGAAACAACAGGAGAGATGTAAAAGCTTCCCAGCACACCACAGCTATAGTTGTCTGTTAGTCCTCTTCTGACTTGATGAACAAGGAGTTCATGATGAATATTCCCTGTTATTCTCTGTGAGTTTCTGTACCAGATGAATGTTGGTGTGTCAGTCAGTTTACAGCTGCTGTTACATGTCAGACGGACTGAATCTCCCTCTGTCACTCTCTCAGGAGACTCCAGCTGAAGATCTGAACACAACACACACATTATATCTAGTGCTGCTCTCATACACTGATTATTATTCTACATAATGACCACAAGAAGAGAGAAACCTCAGGAGAGTCACCTGTGACTGAGAGACGCACTCCTGGAATGCCAATCCATTTATTAGCAGCTATTTCAGTGGTGAATCTGCAATAATACTCTCGTTCATCTTTTTTTGTCACATGACTCAGTCTGAGGTTGAAATTCCACTGGTTATTTAGCACATACTGAATCCTCTGACTGTATTCAGGGTCCACAGAGAGATCTGGAAACTCTTCATTCTCTTCTCTAACTTGTATTTTAGTCCAGAATGCTCTTACAACATAACTTCTATAAGGATATGAAAAAGTGCAGCTCATTGTCACTGCTGAGCCCTGTAGTGCACAGATGTGTGGAGAGCCGTAACTCACACCAAAACCAGACTGACCATAAACTCCTGAAACAAAACATTAATGAAGAAAAAATGAAAAAATCAGTCTATGAGAGAGTTAAATCTATTAAAACTCGCTAAATGAACTGATTTTATTTAATGTCTACATTTCCTAATACATCACTAAAGATGTATTTGATAACACTAGTTAATGCACCATCAACTAATACAAACAATTAAATTCTTATAAACCAACATGAAGTATAGTTAACAAAAGTTGCAAAATTATACAGCTCGTATTTTTCACATTAAAATCAGATATTGATCATTGAAATCCAGTCAGTGTAACCAACAATATTTTGCATTGAACAGTATTTTGCAAGTATTAACAATATAAAATTGACTTAAAAATTACATATAAAGTTGAAGTCAGACTTATTAGCGCCCCTGAATTATTAGCCACTCTGTTTATTTTCCCCCAATTTCTGTTTAACGAAGAATACTTTTTTTCAGCACATTTCTAATCATAATAGTTTTAATAACTCATTTATAATAGCTTATTTATTTTCTCTTTGCCATAATGACAGTGAATAATATTAGACTAGATATTCTTCAAGACACTTCTATACAGGTTAAAGTGACATTTAAAGGCTTCACTAGGTTCATTAGGGTAACTAGGCAGGTTAGGGTAATTAGGCAAGTTATTGTATAATGTTGGTTTGTCTGCCTATACTTAAACACAACACTAGCATTTCCAAACAAAAGCAGTACATTCAGCATTTTTAAAGTGCTCCATTTTCACAAATCGAAGATGCTGGAGTAGTGTGGATGGAAAGCATAAACATATCAAACAACATGCATTTTAAAATGTAAACACACTGTACTGTAAACTGCACCCCTTTAACCTGAGCAAGAGAAATCTGGTATAGCTGTATTACATCAGTAATGTCACTTTTGCTCACAACTGGTTCTGTGATCTGTGATCTATGAACTATCATTGTTACCATGTCAACAAACTATGCTAAATCTAAACCACTAAAACCCAGAGTGGGTGCAGACTACTCTAAAATTAATCTAGTGAACCACCTTGAGGCTTGTAAATCCATTTCACAGTGGGTCACATCATATCGGGGGTCTTAATGTTTTGGCTCATGTCTGTAATTTATTCTTGGAGCTGCTAGCATGCTAACAAGTCAAAACGTCTGTACTTTTATTAACAATAGGGACTCACCTGCTATGAAGAGTATAAACAGCAGAGAAAGAGGAGTCATGTTCACCAACATCACTACAGGAAACAAAATTATAAATACTGTAAATCATTAAAAAATATCAACTTTTTAGGTGTATAAATAACAACAAAAGCACCAGTGCACTGTACTGTAAACACTGCACAATATAAATACACCTCAATGACATTCATTGTTGGTTATTTTCTTACTTTTGAAACCACGCAGTAACAAGTGATTAATTTGCTTGACTTTAAAAAAAGTGAGTTAGCCTGTTGCCTAAACTTTACTTTCACTGACTAAAACAAAACGTCCATGATTTATAATGAGCACTGGGCAGACAAACAGGAAAATATACACCATAAAACTGACGGAAAACTTCCTTCATGTTGTCCCAACACAAATCGATTTATTAATTTTATCATATTTACTAATTTAAGTAGATTTAACAGACAACAGATAAGTTCCCCCCCCCCCCATCCACCCCATCCCCTTGTTTTTGCATTGATGCTAAAGTTGAAACAAAGCTGGACAGACTGATTATTGTTTTATTTAATTCCAGTGCTTAAAAAAACATTTAAAATAGTCAATACAAAACTGATTAAACTATGAAACCATGATTCATTTCAACAAATCTAAGAGTTTTAATAGATGAATAAGGACCATATATATATATATATATATACACACACACACACACACACACACACACATACATATATATACATATATATATAT